GATTGATTGATTGATTGATTGATTGATTGATTGATTGATTGATTGGTGGGGGAGGTCCTCCCTACCCTCCCCCCGCCACACACACACGCACACACACAAACACACGCGGTCGTGCCATGTCATCATCGACGCCCTGCTCGTCGTCCTCGTCGCTGTGCCGCGCCACCCTCGTCGTCGACGCCGCTGTTTTCCAGGCGCAGATAAGTTATCGAGGACAATTTTATTTTAATTTTTCTTCTTCTTCTTCTTTTTCAACTTTCATTCTTCTTCTTCTTCCACACTCTGGCGAAGTTTGCCAGAGTTACCAGTTCCTTCAGCGAAGCATGGCAGATGCTAGCTGAAGGACTGGTGCAATTTGCGAGACGCAGTCTGGCAGGAGGAGAATGAAGTGATCCCTCGAGTGAGGGGGGTGTGTCACCCTGCTTAAACCGGGCGGGGACAGGGGGGTCCCGGTACCTGATACCGGGTTGTAATTTTATGTACCATAGTAGAGCTGCGTAGGACGCCCGATAGTAGAATTATCGGATTGTATAGTAGATACAGAGCAGGAAATAGATACGTTGGATGCGTCAGAAGCGGGTAGTTAGGCGGGTGAACAAGACGAGGGAAGGAAGAGCCGAGGGGGTTGCTGAGTGGGGAAGAGAGGGACAATACCGGGGGAATGGTACCATAAGAAGCAGGATAGCAGGCTAGGAAATAGTATAATAAGGATCTAGGTACGTACTTTTAGCTCGCCCGTGAGGGAGTCCGGTGGGAAGCAGGAGAGAGAGAGAAAAAAACGGGTAGGGCTTATACCCTGCAGGGACCAAAGCACAGAACGGGGATGTACCTAGACGTTTTCAGGCTCTAATGAGTTGTTTTGCGCCCGGAGTCCCCATGGCAGACCGGTGCACGTGTTAGAACAGACACAGCGAGTGCAATGCGGGCGCACACGTGAGGTCTGGTGGGGTATAGGCAAGGCGACTCCGTTCTGTTATGCGTAGTGTAGGGAGTGCCTACGCCAGGTTGTTACACGTGCGAAGAGGCACGAGGGCTGTATAAGTGAGGGCAAGGCCAGAACGGCCCTCAAAGCTCAAGACGGTCAGTCTGGTGGATGCGGGAGTGTGGTTCGCCCCTTGATAAGCCTGGTGCGCAACCAGGCGAAATGCGTCGGGGAATGTGCGCGTTTGTGAGCTTGACTGTCCATGTAGGCTTCTGACATATCTGTAAGCATGGACGAGTGGTGATTGGCCTCGCCATTTCTGTTTCGTTCGTTCTTCTTCTTCTTCTTTTCATCACATTCTTCTTTTTCTCCTTCGATTTCTTCTTCTTCTTTTCATTTTCTTCTTCTTCTTCTCCTTCTTTTCATTTTCTTCTTCTTCTTCTCCTTCTTACTCTTATTTTCTTCCTTTCCCACGCCACTGCGATTCCCCCGCACTCCGATCCCGACATTCTTTCCCCCCTGCCGCGCGCACCTTCGCTCGTAATCCCGATACCCCCCTCCACGCGCAGTCCTGCCTGGAGGTGTCTGTCTCAAGCTAGGTCCATGCATTGCCAGGGGGTCCAGCATTTGTAAAACGCTGGACCCTCAGGAACAGCAAATTTTGACGAGTTTTCGGCCAAAAAACTTGGTTTCAATTTCGTTCAAAAAATAAAAGATGTCCATTTTGACGAAATGGCAGTTGAGAGAACGAGAGAGAGAGAGGGAGAGACTGTGAGGCTTTGGAGTGCGCGCTAGGGGGGCGGTCACCGTCGCAGACGATCGTTCACCACTCATTCACTCACGTGAACGGCCTCGTGAACGGGCGGCCACTTCGTTCACGGCGCGTTCACGGCCGTTCATGTCGTTCACAAAGTGAACGGCGCGTGGACACAGCGTTCGGTTCCGGTGGCGTGAGTGGCGGATCCGCGGTGACAGAAGGTGGATGGCGTTCCGGAGTCGGGGGCGTGGTGGGCGGTCGGTGGGGGGGGGGGGGGTGTTGTGGGGGGCTTTCGGGTGCTGGCTGCAGGCTATGTGTCCCCCTAGGCCGCGGCCGAGGAGGCCGGCCGCGGGCCCGCGGCCTAGTCCGCGTAGTCGAGTCTTTTTGCGGCCGCACCACAGCCAGGCGGCGGCGCGTGCGCGGCCTGCGCACGTCGGCTGCTGTCGGCCTGTGCAAAAAAAGTAAATAAATCAAAAATTTGCGGGGGGGGGGGGGGGTGGATGTGTGACACAAAAAATGAAAAAAGTAGAATTTTTTTTTTCCCATTTATTCAATTTTATTGATTGTTTTTTTATTGATTGATTGATTGATTGATTGATTGATTGATTGATTGATTGATTGATGGGTTGATTGATTGATTGATTGATTGATTGAATGATTAATTGATTGATTGGTGGGGGAGGGGTCCTCCCTCCCCTCCCCGGCACACGTGCACACACACACACACACACACACACACACGCACACACACGCACACAATCAATCAATCAATCAATCAATCAAACCCCTTTTTTGTTTATTTGTTTTCAATTTTTGCATCTTATCTTTTTTTTAACACCTCATTTCCGTGCAAAAAACCGAAATTCATTTCTAAAAAAAATACAGCACAACTCAGGGACCATATCCCTCATGATAAAAAATGACCAAAAAAAATTCGTGCTTTTTTTTTTTTTTTTTTTTTTTAAATCGAATGAAATTTTCGTTTTTCATTTTTTTAAAATCTTAAACGAAGTCCGATTCCAAAATAAAAAACATAGGATTGTAGAGTTTTTCAAGCACTACACCCCTATAGTTTTTGTTTTTTAAACGTATCTTTGGGGGTAAAAAAAACTAATAAAAAAAACAGGTCGTGGACTGGGCCTCATGGGCCGCGGCCGCGGCCGACTTTTTCGGCCGCAGCAGCCGAAATGCCCGCGGCCTAGGTCGCGGGTGTCATATAGTCTGCGGGCAAAAGCTGTGGGGGGTGGTGGGGTGCTCTGGGGGGCTTTCGGGCGTTGGGCGGGGGTGGCCGTAGACGGGCAGGGCCGGACACTGCCAGGCCGTTCTGCTGCGAGCGTGGAGCCGGGCACGACCAGGTCATTTTGCTACGAGCGTCATAATGGCTCCAAAGAAGAAGAAGGGAGAGGGGGAGGGTGCTAAGGAGCCCTTCAAGCCCGTCAACCAGGAGGAGCAGCACAAGGCAATTGGCCACTGTTGTGTTTTCAATTACCTCACGAAGGGGCAGACGCTGGACAGTCGCAAGAGGAACTACAAGATGAAGTGTAACTTATGCGACAAGCTCCCTTTTCAAGGGAGTCAATCACGGGGGGCGGGTCACGTCTCCAAGGGCTGGTGGTCGAGGGTGACACTGTTGATACTCGTCGACATTTGAAACATGACGAAGTACCCCTTCGACAAGCGGCGAGAGAGACAGGTGCAGGATTATATGGAGTACCGTGGCATCCCGAATACGAGAGATGGTGGAGTTGGACGGGCGCCTGTGGACGACGTGCAGGATGTTTTGGACGGGGGGGGGGCGGATAGCGACGGAGGAGAGCACCACGACGACGACGGTTGTGTCGGGGGGGGGGGGGGGGGGGGGGGTGCTGCTCGAAGCGGGCCATAGGGTGAGGGAGTGGAGGGGGGCGGCGACGACGAGGATGTGGAGGAGTTAGGAGCATCCCTGCAAGGGGGGGGAGTTAGGGGGCCAAAAGCAGGTCATCAGTCGTCAACTCATGTCGCTATGGATGGTCGTGGGAAGACGAGGGCGGACCTTGCCCCTGCAGCAAGCGTTCCAGACTAGAAACGCTTGAAGCAGGTCAGGTTGGATGAGGTGTACGACCCGGAGTGGCAGACCACCTTCGACCATCTCTTCCTGCAATGGTGGTATATTGGCGGCGTCCCATTTGAGATGGCGAGAATGACCGAGTACAGGGCTCTCTCACAACATCTGCAGAAAATGCCAAGGGGCATGAAGCCTACTTTGCCCCAATTCAAGCGCATAGCAGGCAGTGACATACAGGAGGAGCGTGCGCACATAGCTGATAAGCTACGTGACATACGTGAGCAGATGCAGCACACAGGGGCTACCATCCTCACGGATGGGAGGAAGTCCTTGAACTCTGAGCCCGTCATGAACTTCCTAGCCGCAGGACAGCTGGGCGCCTTCCTTTTCACAACGGTGCGCAGGGAAGGGGTTGACGCAGAGACGACAAACGTCGTCTTGCAGCGGTGGACAAAGGTGTTCGAAAAGTTCGGCGTGAAGAAGATTAACGCCATCTGCATGGACTTCGCATCAGTTTATGTCGTCGCCAGTCGAGCGCTGCGCGACGATCCCGATCCAAATTCCCGTCGCATCCCTTAGCTTCCTTGTTCTGTCCATTGCTGCAACTTGTTGTTGTCAAACATGGTCGAGGATAAGACATGGGCCATCGAGTTGTTGACGAGGGCAAGGGCGGTTGTCCGACTCATTAGATCTCATGGATCGACTCCCACGTTGCTCAGGATTTACAGCGCCAGGACCGATCGCGACACAAGGGCCGACCGTGTGGGGGGCAACGCTATTGGCGGAGGGGGAACAAGAAACGAGCCACGACGCGGTCAAGAGTTGTTGTACCCTTGCCTCTATGTACATCATGATGGAGAGGTTGTGCGACTGCAGGGTTCCACTTGACACGATGATGTTGGAGGGGGAGTGGGCACGACTTCCATGGGAGAGGAGGCTGCTCAGGCAGGCTGGTTGAGTGCGCACGGAGGTGCGATGCGGGCTGTTTTGGGAGGAGATGGATGATCTCATCGACGTCTTCACCCCGGTCGTGCAGTTGGTGAGGATGTTGGATCAAGGGGGTTTAGTGATCTCGTGCATCCTCCAGTGGGTGACCCAGTTGGCCGAGGAGATTCAGAAGTTGGAGTTGGCGAGACCTCGCCTAGTTGGCATACTGCAGGATTGTTACACCCGGGCATGCCATCTGTCAGAGCCCGCCCATGCTGCTGCCCATCTTCTCAATCTGAAGACTCTGAGGCGGAACTTCATTTATTTCCAGTCTCCGGATCGCAGCGACCAACAGAAGAAGGTGGATGAGATGACACTGGTGTACATCTACACGCAGATGGACTTCAACCGACGGGGAGAGAGGTATAGGTTGGTCCGTCAACAGTTTTACGACTTCCACACGCGCGGGCCGAGGTATGATTGGGGTGGAGATGAAGGGACGGGGGACGAGGATACATGCGAGGGGCCGGAGGAGACATAGACCATTGCTGATTGGTGGGTTTTGCACGACGGGTGTGCCCCTGAGCTTTGTGCCATTGCCACACGTCTGATTTACACGTGGGTCTGTGCCTCACCTGCGGAGAGGAACTCGGCGTTGCACGAGCGTATCCACGAGAAGCGCCGCAACAGGTTGGACTTCACGAAGCTGACTGACATGGTGGAGATGTGCGCAAACAAGAAGCTCCTGGCATGTAGACAAAGGAGGAGGGGACTTGTCTTGTCGAGAGGTGATCTCGAGGAGGTGTTGGACGACGTCCCGGAGCCGCGCAGATCAGGTACTCTACCGCCGGGGTCATTGACGGACGAGGAGATCAGGCGCGAGGTGCGCAAGATGCAGTGTGCCTCGATGGTCCGCCACCCCTCTTTGGTTGAGACTGTGTTTGGTCGTCGTGAAGCTCATATCGAGTTGTATGACAAGGAGATCGAGTATGAGCCACCCACGGACCCACAAACAGCGGACGAGATGGAGTTCGAGGTGTGGACGGCCCCCGAGGACCTGGAGCAGGGAGGCATTGACACACCTGAAGCTGGTGAGGACTCCGATGGGGAGAGTGATCATGGGGCTGACAGTGAAATGCGGTCACGGGATCGACAGAGCCTTTGCGAGCCCGCTCGCCTGAGCCCTCCTTTGACGAGGGGAAGGACTGTGACTGCGAGAGGGCGCAACTGATCATAGGTTGTGCGAACGTCGAGCGAGGACGGTTGAGGTGACGACGAAGATATCGTCGGTGATGAGGACTCCGACGACGAGTGTATGGCTGATCGAGAGCACCCCGATCCGACGGACGAGCATGGGTTCGACGGCGGCGACGACGACGGGGCGAGCGACGCTTGCCTTGTTACTCCTGGCCCCGACGCAGTGGTCGGGCGCGTTATAGGCGGGCAAGGATGTGGTTTAGATGTACCGAAGGCCGGCAGGGATTCCCTCTGGGCCCTGCCATATTCGAGGACGACTTCTACATTGGAGGTGCACCCACTTCAGATTCCAAGCACAGTGGGGTGCGCGTTCAGACACCGGCCAGAGATGTCGCACACCACATAGGGTCGGTGTTTTTTTGGTGGTGCGAGTTCGAGGATGTTGAGAGAGGCTATTAAAGCGACAGTCAAGAGAGAGGAGGGCAAGCGTGGTGGCGACGTTATGCCTTTGCCGGATCGAGATGTTGCCCGGAGGCTAGACATGGACCACGAGGACGTGCTTGAGGAGGAGCGGCTGAGACTGATGGTATCGGGGTGTGCCACGACTTAGCAGCTTACGTTAGAGCAGGACACGACAAGGGCGAGCGAGATGGGGTGTACTGTGGAGGAGGTCATTGCCGCCCGATTAGCAGCAGAGTGTACACATGGTGGTCCTGCAGATGCTGCAAATGGTGGAGAACTCCGCGTGGAGGGACATGAGGTCGATCGTGTGGATGGGAAGGAGGAGGACATGAGGGTGACATATGTGGCCATGGCGACACGCGACTCCCCATTGTTGATGAAGGGGACGGGGCCGACGGTGTGGCCACGGTAGATGCAGCAGGGTTGCTTGGGTGAGATCGCACGGATGTGGAGGGGTAGGTGGATAGTGTACTTGTCGGTGGTGCCGCAATGGAGGATGTGGTTGGCGATCACAACGAGGATCTGGTTGCAGATCACACTGAGGATGGTCTTGTTGCGGTGGATGATGTGGTTGCACATCTCATTGAGGAGGAGTGACACGTGGATGGGGCAGTTGTCGCTGCCCCTGTTGAGGCATGCGCGCCCACCATGTCCCCGTTAGCGCGCCACACTGCCGGGATTGATCCAGTGATGGGCAGGAGCGAGCATATATCGAAGCGGCTTTGGAAGGTCGTGCCTTCATCTTCTTTCGTACCTGTTAGTCCGCCAGTGCCCTTGGGGGTGTCGGGGGATATTGGGAGGTCCATGGAGATGGCTGACCTGTTCGAGCAATTGACAGGTCAGAGGGTTATCGAGCCGGGAGGGGTGTCGTGGGGAGCAGGGTCAGTTGTTGCGGGGACACGATGGCATGTGCAGGGGCGGTGAGTGGACTAGGAGGTGAGTCTGATGACAGTGTTGTTGGCGGGGGAGGTGGTCGCACAATTGTCGGCGGACGGTCGAGCCTTTCAGGCGGGAGTGTTGGTGGGGGAGAGGGTTCTGCAGTAGCGGCGAGTCGGCGACGGTAGGAGGGTGAGGGCATGTGCAGCGTTCTCCATCACCTTCATCGAAGGCAAAGGGGAAGTCTGTATCGTGGAGCGGCATCAACAGGGTCACCCGCAAACTCAAGGATTTTATGTCTGGGGTTACAGGTGAGAGGTGGAATCGTGAGGGGAGGTTGCCGGAGCTTTTTGCAGACGCAGCAGGCTCGGTACGGAAAGGAGATCGGTTGGAGCATCCTGGTTCCGGGTCGTCGTGGGTTGCTGAGGTACGGGGCAACACGATGGTTGCACCGCCTTCACAACCGCCTGCAGTAGGTGCAGCACATCGCGATTGTCATCGACGTCCCAAAGGGCTATCGTCCACACGTGCTTTATCGGCTGCCCGACTTCCCACCGCATTGTTGGACGATGCCCCTAATCCTGCTACATTGTAGAGCAGATGTGGAGCTTGTCTGTCGACGGCACACAAGATACTTGGGGAGGAGTCGCGGCGTCAGACCGCGACAGGACCGGGCAGTCGTCGAGTTGCTGGGGGCTGCACTGAGGATTCCGTGACGGATGGGCTACAGTCTCGCATTTTGGGTTGTGTGTATTGTTTGTCACCTTGAGAGTCGGGCTCTGCGACATACTGACGAGAGCATGTATGCGCACAGGCATCAGATCCCCGGAGTTCCATGGCACCCAGTCTCACCCACACCTCCTACGCCATCAGGGTCTGCTTCTGCAGGAAAAGCGTCGAGCTCCCACCTTGATTGCCCACAGCGGTTCAGTCTCCCATGATGATCGTCGCAATGTATCGTGTTGACATGCCTCCTCTACGAAACAGGTCGGTACCGAGATCAACACCTTCTTCACAAGGGCCAACGAGGTCCCCGCTGATGACGGGAGCGGTTGCCGGGGGGGAAACATTTCACATTAATCCGGATTAGCATCTGTATGGCCGGAAACAGACATCATGCTCGATGACACGAGGTGTGTTACGGACCGGTCGGCGCAGCGACAGCCGGGGATAGGCAGACGTCATAGGGTGAGGGGCGGCGAGAGGGAGGTGACAACAACTGGATTTGACCTGCCACAAGACCATGCAAAGGAGACAGGTGGGGGGCGGGTGCACGAGGATGAGGACGACGTGGCGGATTTGGGTCTTGCTCTACAGGGGGCATAGCGTAACCTTGGGGAGAGTCTTCTGCATGAGTTACGTCGAGCGAGAGAGAGGCGACAGGGGGGTCAGGATTGGACTCGTCATCGGGAGCGGAGGGTGTGCAGCGTCGCATGCGGGAGCGTTCGGGGTTGACATTTCTATGGGCATTACTTCGCCTTCCGCGCATGCATTGCGTGTAGTGCAGATCCATCAGCACGTAGTCCATAGGCTGCATGAGTCGTTGTCCACATGCGCAGCAGGGGGGCTTGTCCTTTCATAGACATACACTTTGACTTTAGTGGTATTTTGTGGACGCACTCGATGGATGGGGGAGGAGAGGGTGGTAGGCTGGTGACGACGAGTAGGCAGACTGGTCATTGGAGCCAGGTTGGTTGAACTCCATGCCGTCGTGGGGGTGAGGGTTGCCCGGATATTGTTATGTTATAATTTTGTTATTGACTTCGACTCACTTCACAGTTGTTGGTCACACGATTCTGGCTTCTTTTTCTTTTTGGTGTGGTGGTGTAGTTGCTCTTTCAATATCTTGCAGTCATTGCTCTATCACTGATATGAAATGTGTGTCGTGGTCTGTGGGTTTGATTGCAACTTTGCGTCAATTGCCTTTATTTTTATGCATGTGTCTCCAACAACCCAAAAACATAACATTTAAAGAACGAAACAAGGAGTTCAAGAACCAATTCACAACTATGAATCCCCCTCGGCGGCGGCCATCCGCGGCCAAGTCCGTGGCCGCGACCCCACGGACGCGTCCGTGCGGCCGCGCGGCCTTTGCCGCCACATAGCGGCCAGTGGGGAGTGGCGTTTGGGATTCAGGAAGCGCCATGGGGCGGCGCATCCTCAGCCCCACCCCCTCAAAAAAA